GTGATGTGTATACAGGTATACATGACATAGTGTGCCTGTGGAGATCAGAGGACAACTTTGTGAAGTTGGCTCTCTTCATTTTAAGTGGGTTCTAGGGATTGAATTCAAGTTGACAGGCTAGGACAGAAAGCACTTTTGCCCAAGGACAAAATTATTTGAGATCTTTGTGTGTGTGTGTGTGTGTATGAATGAGTGTACTCCCTGCATGTGTCTGTGTGTGTATGAATGAGTATACTCCCTGCGTGTGTCTGTGTGTGTGTGTGTTTGCATGTGTATGAATGAGTGTACTTCCTGCATATATATATAAGTGCACCCATGTTATGCAGTGCCTGTGGAGGTCAGAAGAGGGTGTCAGATCCCCTGGAACTGGAGTTACAGACAGTTGTTAGGCTGCCATGTGAGTGCTGGGAATAGACCCAGGTCCTCTGTAAGAGCAGCCAGTGCCTTTAACCACTGAACCATCTCTCCAGCCCCAAATTTCTTTTTATGTTTTATGTGTATGAGAGGGGTTTTTTGTTGTTGTTTTTTTATCTTTTTGAGTCAGAGTCTCCTTGTGTCCCCAGCTGGCCTAGATTGCTATATAGACAAGGCTGGCCTCAAGCTCACAGAGATCCTCCTGCCTCTGCCTCCCAAGTGCTGGGATTAAAGGCATGTGCCACCACATCCAGTTTAGCAATCTCTCTGATTTTGTGAACATTATGTCATACTGTGTCTAAAACAGCATGAGGCAAAATGCAAGTCTGCCCCAAAAATTCTTTAAAATAAACTAAATTAACAAACCTTTGGCCACCTCATTTTTACTTTTTTTAACATTTTTAACTTACCATGAGCTAAAATTTCTCCATGTACATGATTTAAGATGTGTATATATAAATATAAACATTTTTGAACATACCACTGTGGCATTAGTGCATAGAGACTATTGCCTGTCTGCCTTCCTTACCTGCATTGGCTATTCCACTGTGCCATTGAAAACCAGTTATTCCATGTCTTTACTAGGCCTAGCTCAAATACAGACATTTAAGGATTAACTGTAGAATTTAAGATTGAATTAAATAACTAGTATACAGAGACTTTATCTCAGACTAACAAAATTATAGATATTATATTAATTTTGAGTTTACTGAATGATTTGGATCTAGCATTTTCAAATGTTAATTGTGAAAACTAAAAAAAAATTACAAGAGAGATAACTAATCTTGCATTTAATGAATGATTAAATTTTTAAAATATGATTTTATTAAATGCCAAAGAAATGTCTAAATTGCTTTTTGCTATTAAAAATGTATATTTAGAATATTTTTAAAAATTAAAGGACTGGGGCTAGAGAGATGAGTCAATGGCTAAGAGCACTGACTGCTCTTACAGAGGACCCGGGTTCAATTCCCAGCACCCACATGGCAGTTAACAACCATCTGTAGCTCCAGTTCCAGGGGTTCTGTTATCTTCTTCTGACCTCCGTGGACATTGCATGACATGGGTGTATTTACACACGTGTAGGCAATACACTCATATACATTAAATAAAAATAATAAACTTTTTTTAAAAATTAAAGGACTGGGGCTGGAGAGATGACTCAGTAGTTAAGAACACTGACTGTTCTTGCAGAAGACCTGGGTTCAAATCCCAGCACCCACATGGCAGCTAACAACTGTCTGAAATGGTTGCTCCAGGGGATCTGACGACCACTTCTGTCTTCCTTGGGCATTGCATGACACTCATGCACTTACATTCAGGCAATACATGCATACACATAAAATAAAAATAAATAATTTTTTTAAAAACAAGGACTAGCTGGACGTGGTGGCATACACCTTTAAATCCAGCACTCGGAGGCAGAGGCAGGTGGATCTCCGTGAGTTCAAGGCCAGCCTGGTCTACATAACAGCTGGGGCTACAGGGAGACCCTGTATCAAAAAGACAAAAATAAAAAAATTAATAAATAATTAAAAAATGGACTGACTAACCTATATGTAGACAAACTTTTTATATGGTTTCTGGACTTTACCTTATATTAAATATATTCTGTCAATGTTAAAGTCAAGTATTTCTGCTGTTAGGAAGATAAAGTTGTCCAATGTCATCTTTAACACCCAGACTCTTTAAAGACCAAGAAAGGAGGCTTTTTGAAAATCCAAACAGCAGTAAATCTGCCTAAGACCCACAACAGAAAAGAACCTTATAGTTTAACAGTGTGTGGTCAGGTTATTTTAGGTTGCTATAATATGTCATAAACGTAATTTGAATTCAACTCTTTTTAATAAATTGGTAAATGTTGTGTTACTTTGTCTCATGATATTAAGGAAGGATTTTTGTAATGATAAAACTCAAGGATTATTTCAAA